CACCCTGATCCAGGACACCCTTCAGGGAAACCAGCCGGCCCCCACCCATGCACCAGGCCTCTACTCTATATAGTAAAAGGGTAATATGCCTCCCGGAACCGGGATCAGCGGAGGAGTGAGGCTCCCGGCACCGGATCAGCGTCACAGGGGCAGCGCAAAACCCCCTGATTGCCCTGCGGCTCTGTGTGTGACAGGGGGCAGGGCCACAACCTCCATATCTGCCTGCTCTGTGCCTGATAGGGGGGAGCTCCCCAATCCCCTGATTGCCCTGCGGCTCTGTGCTTGACAGGGTGCAGCACACCAACCCCCTGATTGGCCCTGCTCTGTGTGTGACAGGGTAGAGCCATAACCTCTCCATCGGCCCTGCCCTGAGTGTGACAGGGTGCGGGCGCCCCAACCCCTCTCCACGGGCCTTGCTCTGTGTGTGACAGGGTAGAGCCATAACCTCCCCATTGGCCCTGCCCTGAGTGTGACAGGGTGCAGTGCCCCAACCCCCTGATCCGCCCTGCTCTGTGTGTGACAGGGGGCGGTGCCCAGCTTCCCCTATCGGCCCTACCTCTGGTGAGTGACAGCGGGGAGCTCCTCAACCTCCCTGATCCGCCCCTGCTCGTGTGCATGACAGGGGGACTCCCCAACCCCCTGATTGACCCTGCTCCTGTGTGTATAGGGAACGGGGCCCAACACCCCTATGGGCCCTGCTCTGTGTGTGACAGGGGCAGCGCCCCAACCCCCTGATTGGCCCTGCTCTGTGCGTGACAGGGGGTGGCGCCGCAACCTCCCCATCGACCCTGCCTTGAGTGTGACGGGGGCGGTGCCCCAACCCCCCAATCGGCCCTACCCTGAGCATGACTGAGGGTGGCATCGCAACCTCCTGATCCGCCCTGCTCTGTGTATGACGGGGCGGCGCCCCAACTCCCCAATCGGCCCTGCTCTGAGCCTGACCAGGGGCTGCACCTAGGGATTGGGCCTGCCCTCTGCCACCCGGAAGCAGGCCTAAGCCAGCAGGTCGTTATCTCCCGAGGGGTCCCAGACTTCGAGAGGGCACAGGCCGGGCTGCCCCCCCCCCCCGAGTGCACAAATTTTTGTGCACCGAGCCTCTAGTATATATATATAAAAGATATGTTGAAGACCTGATCCCCGATACCTGTGAATGTGACCTTACTTAGCAATAGGGTCTTTGTAGGTGTAATTAAGATGTACGTTAAGATCAAGTCATACTAGAGTAGAAGTGGGCCCTTAATCCAACATGACTGGTGTCCTTATAAGAGAAGAAACAGAGACAGACACACACACCGCATGGGAGAGAGACACACACCGAGAAGGCGGCCATGTGACAGAGGCAGAGACTGGATTTAGGCAGCTGCAAACCAAGGATTACTGCCAAGGACTGTTGGCCACCACTAGATGCTGGGAGAGAGGCAAGGAACAGATTGTCCTGAGCACCCAAGAAGAAACCCACCCATGATTTTGGAACCAAGCCAACCTCTGGATTTTGGAATTCTAGAACTGTGAGAGAATACATTCCTGTTGTGTTAAGCCACCCAGCTGGTGATAATATGTTACGGCAGCCCTAGGAAACAAATGCAGTGGCAGGTAGCCCTGAAATTCTACCCTAAGCCAATGATGTTTGTATTCAATATGTTGAGCCAAGTTAAAAGGAGTACTTATTTTTTTTCCTTTATTGATTAAGATATTACAAATGTGTCCTTATCTCCCATTCTCCCCCATCCCCCCACTCATTCCCTCATCCCCCGATGTCTATATCCAGTGGTTATGCTTATATGCATGCATACAAGTCCTTTGGTTGATCTCTCCCCCTTAGCCCCACCCTCCCCTGCCTTCCCTCTGAGGTTTGAGTATCTGATAGATGCTTTTCTGTCTCTAGATCTATTTTTGTTCATCGGTTTATGTTGTTCATTATAATCCACAAATATTGAGTCACTTCCAAAAGCAGCAGCCTAGGCCCCAGCTCTGCTGACAAATGATTTAAGTATTCTGGTCTCCATTTAAAAAATTCTGGAAAAGGGGGATTCAAATAAGATTTTATATAAAGACAATTTCCATGTCATAAAACACTGTTACTTTTTTTTTTATGATAGAGGGAAGAGAAATCAACTACTAAAAACATCTGACTTAAGGAAAGACAAATGTATTGATGAAAATAAAATGCACTAAAAGGTAATTAGAAAGAGAATAAAAGACAATAAAAGGTAACAAAAAGAATAAGTTATCATACCCACAAAGATCAGATTCACACTGAGTAGAGTAATAAACTGTAAACCCCATGTACTTAGTCACATCTTCTTAAAATCTCTGTTTCTGTTTATTAAAAAAGTAATATTGCCCTAACTGGTTTGGCTCAGTGAATAGAGCCTCGGCCTGCAGACTGACGGGTCCCAGGTTCGATTCCGGTCAAGGGCATGTACCTTGGTTTCGGGCACATCCCCAGTAGGGAGTGTGCAGGAGGCAGCTGATGATGTTTCTAACTCTCTATGCCTCTCCCTTCCTCTCTGTAAAAAAATCAATAAAATATATTAAAAAAAAAAAGTAATATTCACACTAGGAACAAAGGGGACTCCCCAGCTCCGGTCCCCTCTGTGAATGTGACCTTACTTAGCAATAGGGTCTTTGTAGGTGTAATTAAGACACCCGAGAGAGGGCGTCTATGAACAGCCACAGCTAACATCACACTGAGTGTGAAAGACTGAATGCTTCCCCCAGATCAGGAACAAGCCAAACTTGTTCTGCAGGTTCTAGCTGGGGCAAAAAGGCAGTAAGATGAACTAAAACAGTCCAGATTGGAAGGGAACAGGTAAAACTATCTCTATCTGCAGATGACATGACCTTGTAATAGAAAATCCTATCCCACTACACCCACTAAACAATGTCAGAACTAATCACAAGGTGAGATAGCAAGGCTGCAGGACCACAAAGAGGCTTCCATCCGTCTCTGCCAGCTCCGTCAGTCACCTCTCATCATTGTCTGCCTCACATTTTACACCCAGCAATGCTGAGCTGTCCCTCTTTTGACCACAGGCCTGTACTTTCTTACCTCCGTGCCCTGCGTCCATGCTGTTCCTTTGATCTGGGATGTCCTTCCCACAACCAGACCACCCCTAATCCTCTGATTTAATAACTTATTCTCTAAGGCCTGGCTTACTACCAAGTCACCTACTCCAGTAATCCTAGTCTGGGCTAAATTACCTTCTCTGTGTTCCCATAATAGCCTGAGCATCTCTCTACCACTGTGCCTACCAAGTCATATTAAAATTCTCTTTGTATTTGCCTCCTCCCCTAGCCTGTCCAATCTCTGGGGACAAGGGTCACTTTATCTTCTGTACCTAGCAGAGC